GAATATTTAACTTTTATGGCAAATGCCAACTGATGATAATGAAGACTGTGCATCATTTGTTTGAATTCTGTTCCATTCTTTTATTTCTGCTTCTGTGAGATATTCTTTCTGGTTAATCCCTATGCAATATTATGTTTTTCTGATAATTCAATTTCTTTACAATCTGGAATTCTTAAGCTGATACATTTACTTTTCCTCTTTAAACATTTTACTTTTCAGGCAGTCATGGATAAGGAAGCCTAATTACATGTTCATTATGTTTTAGACTTGGATTCATCCAAATTAGTCATGGAAAGGTAATATTGGTCAACTTGTATGCTTTGACCACTGATTCGTTACCAAATCAGTGAAATGGTTCAAGTTGCCAGGCCTTCCCCTGGGGCCCTTTTGCTTTCACGGTTTTCACGTATTGGTGATTTACGGTGATTATTGTTGAGATGAAGAATATGATGGTTGTACTGATGGGCTGTGAGATGATGATGATTCTCATCTTTTCAGTCCTTTCAATGATGAATATTTAGAGAGGAAGAAAAAATTCATATGTGTAAATTTTGTGTGATTTAAAAAAAATTACTGAACCATTTTCTATGGGAGGAACACAGTATCATAATTGCAGCAAAAAAAAATTATATTTGATATGCGTTCGATATTGTGCAATTAGTTACATGGTGTTGACATGCTTTTTCAACACCTTGTAACTAACAAAGCAACAATAGAAAAGAGATGGGGCGCACTGGTGCACCCCATGGTGGTCAACCTATGAATCTAACCTGTTAATTAATTAAGTGTGGATTGGTGCCTACATGTGCATTCACAACCAGAATTGCATTGGAATTCCATTCCCATTTGGATGTTGTCCATGACAAGGACCCAGAACCTGTGATCGTGTTATCGTATTGCATAAACCTTGACATGGCGTCAGCCACGGTGAAACACATGGAGGTGGAACATGTAGATTTCTCTGTCCTTGTCCTTGTCCTTGAACTGTGAAGCTAACTTTCATCTCTCTTCTCTTGGAATATCTCCTCTTAAGGCTGGTTGTAAGGGTTTGTTCTGTGCATTTATTGATTCTGTCTACTCTTTAGCGTTCTTTCTTTTTTATTTTTAGAGAGCACATCGAGAGTGAACCGGCATGCCATTATGAACAACTTTCATTCAGTGGTGAAACTTCAGACACTAGTTCATTGGAAGCTGCATGTCCAAAGGGAGGCAAAGCGACCATTGGCCTAAATGTGAGCTCTTCATATTCCTTCTGTATATTGCCATTGTATTTTGCATCTGATGGAAGGCATTGATGTTTATATGATTGAAAGCTAGTCATTATGATGGGTTCTGTAGTGATATTAGAAAGTGTTTGTTGATGTTTCCATATTTGATAGCTATAGTAACTGTAATGTTTAATGTGCTTAATGATCTCTTTTGATTTGCATGTGAATTTTTGTCACGCTTTTCATCTGGATGTTTTACCTAATTCACTAAATACTTAATATTGAAAGTCTGAAGTTATTTACAATTGACCTGGTTTCTGGTTGAATTGTCCAAATTTCATTTCACATCGGTTTCATTTTCCTTTAAGAAATGTTAAGAAAATATATTTCTGAATCCTATATGAAAATGAAGGTGAATTTACTTTCATGTTCCTTTACAGCAGGGGTGTGAAACATGTTCTTTTCTTGATATTTCCATTTCACTTGACAGTCACAAACATATTGGTGTGGCCTGCAAGCATCTGCAGGGTGTGGAATGCAGCCTGCCAACCAACTTGAGTTTGACACCCCTGCTTCCTAAGAACACAGAAAACCAATTTATAATGCCTTGCACCTCAAATGAATGCTGTCATTGATGGTGAATTTGGAAGAATCTTGTAGGAGATATCAATACTAATCTTCGTAACAGATAATGCGCATGTTCAACACAATGGAATAAAAGGGTCGCGGGGGTCAGGATGTGCCAAGTGAGTGAGTCGGACTAGCAGTTGAATTGGATGATAGTGAAGAGAAGCCCAAAAGGAGATGTGGGATTTTGAGTGGATCCTTGACGTTAGTGCTGGAGATGTTATGCTGTGTGTCACCCCACCCATACCACTCTGGTTCATATTCAGGTATTGCTCGTTGAGCTATCAATTGCCTAATAACCAATTGAGGGTACATAGTTTTGAAGTTTTATCCCACATCCATTCTCTGGTTCTTCTCATCATTGACCTCTTTCTGAGCTGGTTGTCACAATAAAGTAATTGTAGATGGAAGGGGTCAACGGAGTCATTATAATCCTCAAACACGCAGGCGATATCTTAATGGTAATCATTAACGTTAAATCACATTGCAGCCGCCTACAATCTCACATGTTGTAGTCAATTGCAGGTTTGAATCAGTTATTGGTGAAAGAGATGAATCATCACGTCAGGAGGAACCATCCTGGAATGCAGATGTTTCCTTGTTCATGTTGCATCCAAGAATTCCCAGACCTGACCAGCTTACTACTTGTGAGTGATGAGATGCTCATTTTAAGAAACCTACCCTTTGAACACCCACTTTACATGTGTAAAGCAGGACATAGGGCTCCCCTGGATCTTTTTCTTCTTGGTGGAAAATGAGACATTGAAATTACTATCAAGCAACCTTGAACATGATTCTGAGCTTTTTTCACTTGTTACATTTACTTCCGAACGATAACCGAACAACTAAAAGCAGAATGAACAGAAGCAGCTACAGTATATATTCGCTAATTCCATTTTTTTTTAGGAAATCGTTTCGACTTATCAGGAATTGCCTTTACCAGTAAAAAAGAAAAAAAAAAAGGAGATAACATCACATTAAGGATGCAATTTGACTGTTTTTCCGTTCTTCATATAAAAAATTCTTTCATTACGATGCCCTCCATCCTTTCCCCCAGATAACCAAATACGACTGGAATGCCTGGAAATGAGTGCAGTCGATATGCAGGGAAAGTGCAAGAGGATACTTCTATTTATAGCGGATGTTATCGGTTTTAACCTCTTGACCACGGGATTGACTGAACCAGCCCAGCATCCCAAACGTCATCTGTATGAAAGGGGTTAATCCTCTTGTTTAAACCCTCTCCAAAGGGGTCTCTGGGGGAGGAGTGAGAAGTAGAAAAAAAAGGAAAGAAAAGGATTTCCGCCTGAAGATGTTTCTCGCCTTTCACATATTTAACTAATCCATAGTTCCTACAGTATTTTTCCCCCCTTCAAAACCCCTATTTCCAGTTAACCATGATAAAATTGTGATCGGGAAGGAAAATGTAGTTCAAGATATCCGGAAATTCCAGAAGAGCAAACAAAGGAATGGTTTCCGGCCATTCTAGTCATATTTAATATCCGGTTTACTTGGTAAAAGGCGTTGTGGTAAATGAACTTTGCATCCGTTTATCAAAGTTTCTCTAGCCATGAAGAAAAGCCAACCATAATAAGGACATCCCACCTTGAAATCGGATACTTGAAGACGGAAAAATCACCCTATTATATAACTTAACGTCAATACATATTTTTTTTTCATGGTAGAGATTTTTTTTTCATGGTAGATTTTTTTTTCATGGTCCTGACAATTCAAAATTCGGATAACTCAAGACAATTAGCCCAGTCCCAAAAAGTTCCATTTCACCAGTTTTTACTGTATTTTAAACCAGAAATGTGCTGGGGGACACCATTGCGTATCTGGCATGCTTACATAGCATTTTATTGATCTTACTTTCACAGTAGCTTTGCGCAGTGATTATTTCCTCACCATCTTCGCAAGGCGCTAGTATTCTGTGATGCCTTGAAAATCACGATCATCGGTGATTTGCATTGGAGTATCATGAAACACCGATTTTTCGTGGTTAGTTTATAAAAAACAAGAATTTTCCCCTTTATTTCCCTCATGCCTATGCCCATACCCTTAATTACTGCGCTTTAGATGATGATATAATGTTAGGGCTGTCACGATAGCAGCTCTCAAAACATCGATGCATCGGGGGTGAGGGGAGGGGGGGTTGCACAGAGGGATTGAACTTTTTCTCGGTGCAATCGAGCAGAGGTGTGTCTTCCATAATGTCTTGCCTCGATTGGAATGGAGACCTCAATCAGGCTTCCATGATCTCACAGTTGTGTGGGAGGTGTGAACCTCGCAGGGAGTAATAAAATCTGCCACGTCTCCTGTTATCGAAAGTAACATCTATTTATGATGTCCCATCGATTGTCGCATGTGGACAGCGTTAATTTTACTGAAAAGTTGTCAAGCCGCTGTCCATGTAATATATTTTTCCCTTTTCTTTGTGCTACACAGTCTTCTTTGGAAATCTGCACATACAGACGGAAAACTTGCCGATTTTTTTTAATACACTCGGTTGACAAAATATCGGTACAGCCGTAGAATAAGCGACGTCCATGTAAAAAATTCACTTGTGTTCACATTAAGAAGGGAGGTCAAATGCCCCACAGCAAGTTGAAAATAATAATAATAATAAAACTTAAGCCTACATACTTTAGAGACAGGAATATAGAGATGGGGATTAACTGATTTAGATTTCGAAATGAAAGGAGTATGAGAACAGTTCACTTTCGCATCATGCTCCTGATGAAGTCGAGCTGAAGACTGAAACTAAAGGTGAGAAATATTCTTGATCTTCCCTCCCTTCCCTTCCCACTTCCTGTCTCCAAGCCAAAATGATTTTTTTTTTACCCTTCTTTTCAGCAGTCCCAGTATTTCCAGAATTTGATCATAGCAGAAATTGCAAGCAAATGCAAGTCACGCTACCTCCTTTTCCCGGCGTGGACCAAATGTATAGTACTGTTCTCGTCTCAGTCCAATGATTGAGACGAGAACATGACTATGATATGAACATGAGCATGATTATTTAGGATGCTGATAGTCCTCGTGCCCAGAAATTGTGGTCTTCCATGTCTTTAACTTTATAAAATCACTTTTACCTAATAACAATTTCATTGCAAGAAGAAGAAGTTGCGGTTGCCTAGCAGTTTCCGAGAAGGAAGAAATCCGAAGATGTCATCTTCAGGAGATCATCTGAGCGATCGTTGTGATTGTGATCTGTGCATATTGGGGAGGCATGCTAATTTCATCTGGCATCAGCTCGGTCGTCAACTCAGCCGACTCTGGTGTTGTGGAAATAAGGAAAATGTCGATGGTGAGCTCATTTCATCTCTCGCTCTATCTCTCTTCCTCTCTCCCAAAGATGCGAAAAATGTGGGGCGACGTGCGGTTGTGCCCGCATATGCTTTTTTATTGTTTTCCATTTGAAAGAGATTTAATTTTAATCATATTCTTTATGTAGCACCTTCATGTGAGGTAGGCCTTAATGATGCAGTTCGCGATGTGGTATTTCACGATCATGTTGATGATTGAATGGACGATGATGGTTTGATTCCTGCTTGTAAAAATGGTTCCTTTCCTGTTTCTGAAGATGATGCCCCATGCCCCAAGGCTGGTTATGATGCCGCATACTCCGAGGCTGGTCATGATGCCGCTTACCCCGAGGCGTTTGATGAAGCTGCATGCCCCAAGGCCAGTCATGATGGGGCATGACCCAAGGCTGGTGATTTTGAGAATGGTTCTCCACTGCCTGGTGAACAACCTGGTTTTATAAGGTGAGATGCTTCTATGATATCCTGCAAAAGTGTGATTTTCTTATCGCCTTCTGTCATATAAAGGCAACACTCCCTTCTTAAATACTTAGAACAACACCTTCAAAGTGTGCTTCCTAGAAATAATCCAACGCCATCAGAATATGCAATCCGCTAGTCCACTGATGCTTCGAACTTTATCTTCCTTTCTTAAGCTCCTTTTTGCCTGGACACATTAAAAGATGACCCTCTACTAATCTATGGACTTATTAGTCATTCATTTGCATGCGCACCAATTTGTAGTTCTGACGACCTTACTTGCCATTACTCTTTGTGAAGGAGTTAATATGTTGTGAGATTCAAAGTCGATGATGTAACAGTTGCCATGTATTGTGCTTGAAAGGGTAATTTTAATTCCCTGTCACGCTACTTCCTTTTTCAAAGAAATTTCTGTTGTCTTCATCTTCATCTTGATTCTAGTTTTAAGTTCTGAGCCTTCAGTAATGATGTGGCTGGAAAATTAACAGTGATCCTTCCCTTGCAGGGTTGAGTGGAACCGATACGAAGACCCATGCATGAAACTAGAGGTGGTGGTGGTCTTAGGTGTGGCTTCCCTGGGGGTCTTGATTTGCCAACTCTAACCACCCATCCCTGCCTGCAAGGTGGAGTAAGTGAACTTTGTGCTTTATTGGTTCGGTTCAATGAGTGACTGAAAGAGGGTGCCTATGAGAGGTTGGCTGCAACTGTTTCACATCCAGTCAAACTTCCTTTCCTAGACATTATTCGTGGTTGAGGGAACACATTGTTATGAATGTTTGTCTAAATGCCATGGGTACCAAAGACAGTGAATGATGAATTTTACAAGAATTGATATTGTTATTGAGAAAGAATGATCTTCCATGTATCTACTATAAAACTTGCAGAATCAATATGGCCATGTTTGTCCCTTGGCAGTGAATATTTGACTGCCATGCCTCCTGATGATAATGAAGACTTTGAATCATTTGTTCAAATTCAGTTCCATACTTTAGTTTCTGTTTGTGCGAGATATTCTTCCTGGTTAATCTGTATGATATATAATATTCTTGTGATAAATTCAGTTTCTTTACAACCTGGCATTCTCAAGTGGTTATATTTGCTTTTGCTCATTGGGCATTTTACTTTTCAAGCTGTGAAGGGTGAGGAAGCCTATTTTTAAATGTTCATTATGTTTTTGACTTGGAGTTATCCAAATAAGTCATGGATGGGAAATATTATTCAACTTGCATGTTTTGACTGCTTCTTCACCAGGTCGGTGAAACGGCTCAAGTTGCCAGGCCTCCCTCTTGAGGCCTCTGTTGCCCATGGGGCAGGTATTTTCAGCACTGTCGTCCGCCCCATCCCTGATCTCCGTGAGTTTTGTGAACTATCCTGCATGTTAATATGAATTTTATAGGGGAAAATTTGCAAGTAATATGAATTTATTTTTAGTTCAAATTAAATTATGCCTGTTTAAGGTACATATAAAAGATAAAAATTGACCCCCTGGATCAAAATTCCGCTCTATAATTATAGTTAGGGACCTCGAAGGAGGGCCCAAGAGCCACTTTTCGAGACTCTAAGGTCACCGGTGTGGACAGAAAGTAGGGTCAAAGGTCACGATTTCGATGGGTCTCTTCAGAGGCTTTTTTCTCCGGCATCTCGAAGGAGGGCCCAAGAGCCACTTTTCGAGACTCTAAGGTCACCGGTGTGGACAGGAAGTAGGGTCAAAGGTCACGATTTCGATGGGTCTCTTCAGAGGCTTTTATCTCCGGCATCGTTCAACGCAGAACTTTGCAATTAGTCTCATTCTCTTCCTTAGATTCTACTCTAAACAATGATGTAAAATTCTTGAAAATGTTACCACGGGTTCGGGATGGGGAACGAATTTTGCGAAAATCTCGTCTCGTCGCGCCTCACGTTTACCCCTCCCAAATCCGTCGTAATCAACGCATCGAGAAATCCATGCATACGATTTTGCATCATGAGCAGTTGCATCTTCATGCAACGTGGCGTTCAAATCTTGTTGACAATTTTCGTGTGCCATTTGAAAATACTCTCGAAAATCATAATTTTTTTGTTATTTTGAACTTCGGCCCCGCATTACTCGGGAACGAATAGGAGATGCTGCGGTTTTTGTGCACCGATATTTAGAGACGACTGTCGTGAAGGGCTCTGCCTAATTATATGCCAAAATATTCATAAATCTCTGATTTCTTGTGATTTGACTGATGCCAAGTCGGAGAATCCTGCAGGAAACGGTGCCGTTTTCCCCTGCATGCCTCCTCACTCGCATAATGCACACAGCCTCTTCCGCGTATCATGTAGCAGAATGATCCACGATTCAGATGGTGCTTGAATCGTCTTTCTAGGCTTACGGGTTATCGAATGGTGGGACTTTATCCACGTTGAAGTTTATTTTTTCCGCCTAGAAAGTCATGAGCAGACGACAGGATTGACGCACATCCTCTCGACATGTCTTCTCTGAAAAGGATGTTTGATGAGACAAGCTATTTTGGATATGCTTGAGAGAGGCGGAACGTTGCCTGACTTCCCGAGAGAGGTGAGATCGAGGATGGTCCTATTTGGGGGAGTATTATACTAAAATGAAGCCTCACAGCTTCAAAATTTACACCACCGGTTAGGGTGGAATCTAAACTACAAATCTTGTCAGAAAGTGATTTTTCGTCAATCGTGTTATTGTCGAGATGTAGGGGGAGAAGGACGGCGTCAGATGGAAAGGGAGGCGTATGATGAAAGGTATTATCAATTGCGTACGTTTGCTTGCGCACGTTACTTCCATAAAGTTTGTAACATGCCTCTAGACGTGTGCACTTCTTCTGGATATATTACCAGTTGAATTAGAGGGAAGCCTTATTATATTTCCGTTTACTCACTTTGATGACGGTTGGTCGAGCCAGAGATCAGACTGTCGCCCTAATCCTTGGACACGATACTGTATATTCCAGAGGGGTCTGACCAGTGGCGTATTTTACAGGAGGAGGAAGGCAGGGGAGGCAGCCGCCTTGAAGCCCCTTGAAGGTAGTTTTCTCCCCGATATCGCTCGGGTGGGGTTTGGTGCCAAAGCTCTGTTGCCCTGCCCCTCCCTGACCCTTCAGCCAGAAATACGCCATTGGGTCTGATTCTATTAGGTTGGACTGAGTGGAATAATTCATGGTTGGTTTGGACCACATTGACAGATTCAAATCTTCACAATTTTAAATGTTGATTATTAAAAGCACCTTTTCGTCAACAACTGCTGGAGCGTTTCGCGAACGGGACGAAATGGACTGACTAGTCCGCCGCTAGTTTGGCACCGCTATTATATTCTAACAAAAGATTTATAAGTATATGTTATGCAAATGAGACAAAACGCTAGAATTTTGCATTGCCATGATTCAGAAAAATAATATTGGGTGCTTCTGGTCATCAAAACCCATCCCGTCTTCCTTTTTCGTCAACAACTGCTGGAGGGTTTCGCGAACGGGACGAAATGGACTGACAGGTCCGCCACCGGTTTGGCACAGCTATTATATTCTAACAAAAGATTTATGTGTATGTTATTCAAATGAGACAAAACGCTAGAATTTTGCATTGCCATGATTCAGAAAAATAATATTGGGTGCTTCTGGTCATCTAAACCCATCCCATCTTCCATATACACCAATTTCCATAGAGTTTTGCTCCTTACTATTCAAACGAGACCCTCTGTACGATTTTGAAACTCAACATTTCTCATGTAGAATAAGGGGGTGCTTATTGTCATTTCTTTTAGCAACAGTTTCAGTTCGGTTCAGCCTGAGAGCATTCAAAAGAGAAACAAATTCGAATTTGGAACAGTCACGCTTTTGAAAAATAAAATAGGGTAAAAAAAAATAATTACCCTTGCACATCGAGGAATCCCCGATATGATGCATGCAAATTTTCGATGGATTCTGCCCNAATAAAATAGGGTAAAAAAAAAAATAATTACCCTTGCACATCGAGGAATCCCCCATATGATGCATGCAAATTTTCGATAGATTCTGCCCCGTAGCGGTTGAAGGAGACATGATGTTCGAATTTCAAACGGCCTGGTGGATGTGGTAGAGCTCTTCTGCAAGGGATGCATATCGATTTGTTAGGATAGACACGCTAATCAGGCGTGTAGCTCCGTTGACAATAAAGATTCCAGTCTGGTGTGGGCAAATACTTCCCATAGACCAACAGTTTGAAGTTTAGAGACCTAAGCGGCCCGCGGGTCGGCCTGATCAGTTCAACACGAGGCGAGGCTGGGCCCTATAGAACTCGGCCGACGATCAAATTCCGGGTCGGGTGTGGGGCGTGATTCCACTCAAGCGTACCTGGTCGGGTTCGGAAAAATTCATCCGTGCAGGCCTCTGACGACGGAAAGGTTAGAGAAGACCAAGGAAAACGAACAGAAATAAAGAGGGAAATCAAGGGAGTAGTATTTAAAAAAAAAACAACGGAGGATTGCTGGCGCCACACATCCCTGGGCAGGGGGAAGTGAAAACGGTCCGGTTTTCGAAAAACCGCATTCAAACAAGATTTGTAGCTCAGAGTCTGGCCTAGCCAGTGGTATAATTTTTTTGACTGTTTGACCATATTTAAGGAAGACAAACGTACGCAATTGATAATACCTCTTATCATACGCCTCCCTTTCCATCAGACGCCGTCCTTCTCCCCCTACATCTCAACAATAACACGATTGACGAAAAATCACTTTCTGGCAAGATTTGTAGTTTTGATTCTACCCTAACCGGTGGTATAAATTTTGAAGCTGTCAGGCTTCATTTTAGTATAATACTCCCCCAAATAGGACCATCCTCGATCTCACCTCTCCCAGGAAGTCAGGCAACGTTCCGTCTCTCTCAAGCATCTAATATAGTTCGTCTCATCAAACATCCTTTTCAGACAAGTTTTGGAATTCACAGTCCATTCTGGTCTACGGTATACATTTCGGAGCAGCACGTTCA